GGCTTGTGTCTGATAGTTTAGGGGCCAGGAATATCCCAGAATACCTTGGAACTGGGGAGGGAGAGGTAAACTCTGCTATTAACCCCCTGTCTGAACCTAGACCAGTTGTAACAGGCTTCTAGAAGCGCTCCCAGATCTATTCACTGTGATCCAAACGTGGCATTTCAGTATTCCCAGAGCACACAAATGATCCTCGGGGCAAAGAGCTGGCTCATGCGCAGGTCTTTCCTCTGCTCAGCCCTCATCAGTGACTTCTCTGTGGTCAGACCCAGGCGGTTTGTGCTATGGTTACTTGATTCTGCTTCTTCAGAGGTGGGTGCAAATCAAAAAAGACGGCGTGAACCTTTATGCTCGCATCTTCTCTGCCCCCAGAAATAGGCCACGGCCCATCACTGTTGGCTCCAACACGGACACCCACTCCACAAGGCCTTGTCCACCTTCTTCCACTGTGTGCTGTAGCCTCTTTGGGGGTTGATCTTCAGGCCAGGAGCAAGGGGCTGGCAGCCAGTAAGCTTAGCATGCCGCACTAGCAGCAGCCAGACAGGCAGGGGCAAGGGTGGCAAAGCACTGTGGGCAGATGGGCAACCCTATGGCAGGCTGGGGTGAGGGCTCCCAACCCCAAGCCTGCCCTGAGCTGTGATTGAGTCTCTCAGGCCTGATAAGAAGGCCAGGAGCAAGGGGCGGCCAGCCAGTAAGCTTAGCATGCCGCACTAGCAGCAGCCAGACAGGCAGGGGCAAGGGTGGCAAAGCACTGTGGGCAGATGGGCAACCCTATGGCAGGCTGGGGTGAGGGCTCCCAACCCCAAGCCTGCCCTGAGCTGTGATTGAGTCTCTCAGGCCTGATAAGAACATGTCCTGCTCTTGCTGGAAGGGCTCAGAGTTTTCCAGGGAGGAGAGGGGCAGCGGGAGAGCCCCTTATCAAGGGAAGGTGTGGCTGGAGGGGGCTCCGGGCTTAGCACGTGCTCTGCTCCCACCACCATTGCCTTTGCCTGGGGTCAAGGGATGGGATGCTGCAGGATGGATGTGACAGCTCGGACGTACAATCTGCTCGTGTATGTTGGAGGGATGCACTGGAGTTAAGGCTTGCACTCATGCCCCTTGCGGGGTGATGAAAGCCTCGAGTCTGTAGCGGGACGGGGAGCGTTGGGGAGCAGCCTGGGGGTGGTTCTCAGCTGCACCTCTAGGGATGGACTAGGGCCTGCAACCAGGGAGTGGGCTCCCCTGAGGTAATGCTGGCACTTGTTCCCTCCTTTTCTCCCTGCCCGTGGTGTATGGTGGGACATCAGTAGCACATCAAGGACCCTTCAGTTCTCTTCCTCCTGCATCGGGCTGAATGAGCCTCTACTACAGCACCAACTTCCACCCAGCACACAGAGCAGGCAGCTCTTGGATCCCAGGAGGTATCCGGGCTCTCTCTTCTTTGCAACAGATTCCCCACATCCCAGCTGGGAGTCTGCCCTCCAGCTGCTCAACCACCCCTGGAAGTGGAGCTGAGTAGCTGAAGCCTCCCTCCTTGAAGCCAGCACTGCGCGGGATTGCTCTAAAATTAAAAAACATGGGACAAACTCCACAGACTTCACCCGATGCAGCTGGGCTGATCCACACATCACAAATGAACCTTCTGGCTCCCACACTCCCATGTGGTGAGCACTGGATCTCCTTTTGTGGGAGCGCTTTCCCTTTCCCTTCCCATTCAGAATGGAAAGACATTTCAAGATGCCAAACTTCACACCCCACAAGGGAACGGACAGGGTTTTGAGCAGGTTTCTTATCACCTGCGGCCCTGTGTACTGAGCGCAAAGAGCCCTCATCAGTGTAGCCTAACAATCGGCGCTGAAGAGCCCGTCCTTATTCTCACTCCCGTGACCCTTTTGCCCACCTGTTCCCCAGGTTATTCACAAGCTGTGCTTCCTTTTAGTTTTGCCTTTAATTGAGCCGTTGACCTGCTGTACAAACGTTTTCACCTACATTGACTTTACAGGAGAGAGGTTTGGTGTTTTTACAGGACTTGTTTTTAAATAGGAAATAGCTTATTGATGAAAACAGTAAGGCAAGATCTGTCAAATATGGCCTGTCTCCCCCTGCAGAAATAATGGAGCTATCCACCATTGCTGGCAGGTGTATGCCATGCTTTCTCAATGGGGTTTGGTCTGGAATAATGGCAGTGAGCAGTTGCCACATGTCAGCCCCCTCCCTGGAAGGTGGGCTTTATCCTCAGTTTATGGACAGGGAAGTGGAGATGCCATAAATGTGTAGCTGAGGTAGGATTAAAACCCCCTGTGTGGCCGCCTCCTCCCCACTGCTCCCCAACCCTTCCTTACAGTGCCTCTTGCTGGAGATGCTTGGTGTGGTCCAGCGCCCTGCCCTGAGCCCCATGGAGCAGCACAGGACCGCACTTTGTAAGCTGCCAGCCTGCCAGACTTGACCCCATCAGCCAGGCCATCTGCAAGGCTCAGTGTCCCCCAGGACTGTGCTGCTGTGCAGCCCTCTGCTCAGGGCTGAGGTGACCCAGTGTCTGTGAGCAGCTTCTGGCACGAGACTGAGAGGAGCAGTCGCTGCAGCCAGGTGCTGCTACCCAGCTCTGCTCTGCTCCAAGTGCCCCTGTTGTCTTCACGCACATGCCCCTTCAGCGGGAGCTTCTGCGGCACCAGCCTGGAGGGGCAAGTATGAGGAGCAAGCTGATCCCCCTCCACAGTTTGCATGACCAGTCCCTGCTGATTTCTAGAGGCAAGGGGGAAAAGAAGAGGGAAGAGGAAAGGAGGAAGAAGACTGACCCTCAGCAACTCGTACTCATTTGACTCCTCTCTTCTTTTACAGGGTGCTTCCCAGCAACCTTCTGGGGTTAGATCTCAGCTGAGAGGAGCTCAGATGGTGGGTAGAAATGAAGCCAGTGCATGCAAAGGCAAGTAAACCTGTGTTTGCTACACCGAGATTGGAGTTAGATGGTGAGCATATAACACAACCAGTCTGCATCCATACAGCTGCAGCATTGCCCAGATCTTCCCCATGTTTTTCGGCAACATAAGGCCCAGAAGACGGGTATTGAGTGTGTACTAAAAGCCATGCCCTGCCTGTTCATTGTAGTGTAGATGGGAGGGGGAGCGTTTGCCCAAAAAAGGAATATCTTTCCTCCTCCAGCTCCATGTATCAGAGAAAGCTGAGCTGCTGCTCATAACAGGATCTAGAAGTGGGAGACTGTATCAAGTGGGGTCCTTGGCAGATGGACTCAAACGGTGAAGGGCTGCAGGCCAAATCCAAGGACAAAAATGAGCTTGAACACCTGGAGAAGTCAACTGAGATCAACATCAAGAAAGGCAAATGCACAGTCCGACTCAAATGTGCAAGTGCAACATGAAGACTTAACAGTCTAGAGAGCAGGAAAGGATGGAGGAGGTGACAGCAGAGCTGAAGCTGAAGGAGGCAGCGGCATGACAGTGGTGTTGAAAAGGCAAGTACTATTCAGAGATGTGCTAATGGGAGTGATAGACACAAGATGAGGAAGACACTTGTTCCTCTCTAATTGGCACTAGAACGGCCAGCTTTGGTCACTGTAGTTCCAGAAAGCTGTTAGACACAGTGGGAGAGACTGGAAGAGAGCCAGGAAAACAACACGGGGCTTGGAAAGCGCTGCCTCTGTGGGAAAGAAGAAGAACTTGGGTTTGATTAGTCTGGGAGAGAGACGATCGAGATGTATCGACAGTCTTGTTTGCCAGGAGAATGGCCCAGTAGTAGCTGGCAGTAGGGTAGCTTGGGGGTCGAGATGAGGAAAAATACGATGAGGAGAGCTTAGCTCCAGTTTGGGGGCGGGGGGGGCACAAAATTCCTGTCGGCAGAAGATTTCAGGAACAAACGTCTAGCTGGGATGGGGCAGCGATGTGTAAGCAGGGGGTGGCCTGGCTCCCAGCTTGAGGCCCCTTGCTGCTCTCTCTGCTTCGGCAAGAAGCCCCTGGCTCTAGAGGCAAGAGCACTCTCCTCCCCTGCCCGTAGCAGCAGGGTCTGCTGAAACCGTGCCTGGAGCCTGGGCCTTTCCCGAAGCGACCATGCGGGGGCTGCATCAGCAGCTTCTCCTATTCCTTTCCGTTTCTGGCAGCACCGGCAGAGCATCCCGTGCTGCTCCTGGAGCAGAGCTAAGGGCTGCAGCTGTGGCTGCTGAGGCTTGGGCTGCTGCTGTTGACCTCATGTGGCGCTGTGCTCCTGGCCCCTTCTCCTCCCTTGCCAGTTGCAGCCCGGAGCAGAGCGGGTCCTGTGGAAACGGCAAAACAGCCATGGCCCAGGCCCTTGTCTCTTTAGTCTCCTGTGAGCTAAGGAGCAGTGTGGGGCCAAACGGGAGGGCTGATGCAGGCTTGGCCGATCCCACCTCTAGTGGTGCTGTAATGCGGCCAAGCAGAAAGGGGGTAGGTAGGAAGCCATTTCCTGCCTCCCTGAAACAAATGCTCCAGTCCTCAGCATGCCAGGACTCTCCTCCCTCCCCAGGGTCATCCACTGCCTGGCAGCAACCTAACAAATGGCTGGAAGCAGAAACCACTGCAGCCTCATGCCCATCCCTGGGTTAACTGCCTGCAGGTGCAAAGGGGTGGGGGCCAGAGGGGAACCGATTGCAGTTGTTTCAGGCCTGCTGCTCTGCGGGTTGGATCCTGGCCGCTCCCTGCCTGCGGGCATCACTCCAACTCCTTGGACTGCTTCGCCCGCTGTCTGCGCAGCTTCACGAAGGCCTGCGCCTCCTTGTCCCCTTTGCGAAACTCCAGCAGCTTCAGGATTGGGTCCCCTGTGAGGTGGTGAGAAGCGAAGTTCAGAAAAGAGGAGAAGGGCCTGAAGTCAGGGAATACGTGGGCCCCTGCTGCAGTACAGCATGCACCCCAGGCACACAGCTTGGCCCAGAGCAGCAGGCAAGGCTGGCTCTGTTGCCCCGTGAAGATACATGGCCATGGGGAATCTATGACGGGGGCAGTCTGTAGCCTCTGCTAATGCCCTGTTGGCAATGGGTTCACAGACGGGGCCAGCTGGGCCAGCTGAAATGCCTCTTTCCCAGAGGAAGATCAGACCTTCCAGCCTGTTGCCCAGTGCTCAGTATAGTAGGGCTGTGGGCTTCTGTCACCATTAGCAGCCATTACCAGTGCCCAGTGCTTCAAGTGCACCATGCAAACGCTAGCAGGCCAAGGAAGGAGAAGCATTTGCTCCTGTAGTGACCCATTTTGCAGATGGGGAAGCCAGAGGCAGAGGTTTGAGGGACTGGCCTAGCACAGAGGGCTAGGGAAGTAGATGGAGACTAGTAAAAGTTACGGGTACCAGTGGGTTTGGGATGGGTCAGTGGCAGCCGTGTTTGGGGCACCGTGACTGTGTCCACCTCATCGTCATTCTTGTTGAGCCCTGGCACGTTGCAGAGGGGAAAAAAAGCTTCTCCTTCCAGATCGTTGGCTCCCAGGGTGTCATAGTCAAACACAGTGAGCAGCAGGCAGGCCCCCTCCTGCTGGCACTTCTCTGGAGGGACCAAACTGTGAAGAAAAGGCATGAGGTATGAGCGGTCTCAGCCATGTCGTGGCAGCCCGCCCATGTGGGGCAACCAGAGCGCAGGTCTCAGGCTGACCAGCATCTTAGCAATGACTAAGACAGAGTCTAACAGCAGAGAGGGGGACCAAGCAAGAGCCACTGGATCCAAGCAGGGGTCCTCACCCTCCCTCTTATTTGTCCTGCTGGGGAGCCCAGGCAGCACCCAGCACTCAAATGAGCAAGTGACGTCTATGTGCATCCACACAGAGCACACAGATGGGCCTCGGGGCAAAGAGCCGGCACCTAAGTCTTTGCTCAGTCCTCATCAGTGACTTCTCTGGGGTCAGACCCAGGCGGTTTGTGCTATGGTTACTTGATCCTGCTTCTTCAGAGGTGGGTGCAAATCAAAAAAGACGGCGTGAACCTTATGCTCAGCATCTTCTCTGCTCCCAGAAATAGGTCACGGCCCATCACTGTTGGCTCCAACATGGACCCCCCACCCCACTCCACAAGGCCCTGTCCACCTCTTTTCACTGTGTGCTGTAGCCTCTTTGGGGGTTGATCTTCAGGCCAGGAGCAAGGGGCTGGGAGCCAGTAAGCTTAGCATGCCGCACTAGCAGCAGCCAGACAGGCAGGGGCAAGGGTGGCAAAGCACTGTGGGCAGGCGGGCAATTCTATGGCAGGCTGGGGTGAGGGCTCCCAACCACAAGCCTGCCCTGAGCTGTGATTGAATCTCGCGGGCCTGATAAGAACATGTCCTGCTCTTGCTGGAAGGGCTCAGAGTTTTCCAGGGAGGAGTGGAGCAGTGGGAGAGCCCCTTATCAAGGGACGGTGTGGCTGGAGGGGGCTCTGGGCTTAGCACGTGCTCTGCTCCCACCACCATTGCCTTAGCCTGGGGTCAAGGGATGGGATGCCACAGGATGGATGTGACAGCTCGGACGTACAATTCAAAGACCTCATCAAACAGTGGATGGAGATCGTTCTTCTTGCACTGAGTCACCCGTGCCACCACCTCAGGAAATTCATGCCGTGGCTCCAGGGTCAGCTGGACGAAGGGGTCGCTTGAGCCTTAGGGAGATGAGAAGGGAGAATGGGACCAGGCATATGTTTCCTTCCCCTCCCCAGGTCCACGGTTGTTGCAGATACCCTTATTGCACAGCACCGTAGCAAATGCTGTAGGAGGATTTCCCATCCCACTATGTGTTGATCCAAGCAGAGCTCACACCCAGGGCCTGGTCCCTGCTTCACACACAGGTCTGCAGGCACTGCTCTTGGCTCCAGGTACACTGTCACTCACACACATCCATACCCACACCAACCCCCTCTCCCACCACGGACCCGCCCCACTACTTTGCCCTGTCCTAGCAGACATCAGTTTCCCAACCAAGCGCCCAAGGCCAGTTGACCACCGCGGGCTTGCAGCTGCCCACACTCCGGGGGCTGGATGTTGGGATCTGTAAAGGTCAAAGAGCAAGGCTTTGTCTCCATGGGATTCTGCTGTGGCAACAGGGCCGCTTCTGGCCAGGTCAGTGTCAGCCCAAGGTACTTTGCTGACCATCCCCATCAAAAAGCCCAGCGTCAAACGGGCTTTGGGACTCCTTGGAAGCCAGTGGGCTATGGGGCAGGTCGGGGCTGGTGGCCAAGGGGAGCAGAAGTGGAGTTTCAGGATGCTGCAGTGAAACGGCAGTGCCCCCCTCCGGGTAGCAACAGGAACTGCAGCCTGGTCCCTAGAGATTAGCCCAAGGGCCGGGTCCTGTGGCCTGGCAGAAAGGATGTGTCCAAGAGAACCAGGGGCCACCATAACACAATGGTATTTGCAGCCTGGCTGCTGCTCACCTGCCTCGACGTGTCCCCCTTGCATTCCCTTTAGTGGGCACAAACGGTGTCACTGTGGTGCAAAGTGCCCTGACTCTGGGTTGAGGTTTGGTTTATTTGGCCCCAGCAGCCCCCTATATGTTATGGGTATTGCTGGCTTTCATGGGCCATGCCCAAGCCTGCAAGCGAACTGTCCCATGAGCTCAGACCAACAGCCTACCACAGCAGCTCCCTGTGCACAATTCAATGCAAAGGGGTCCTCTACTGTCATGTACTGTTGGCATCTGTAACCCTCGTCCCTTGCCAGGGCTAGAAAACACTGGAGCCATCATCAAGGACAGCTGATGCCTTACACTGAGACTGTAGCAAACTAAAAATGCATGTTGGAGTTGGCCGTTGCTCCAGCCCCTGGCGTCTCACCATTTGAGTCCAGAGGGATGAGGTTGACAGCATTAAGGATTTCAATGCGGAGCTTCTGGTCGGAGGCTCGGTAAAGTGCTTTGATGGTCACAGCCCCGTACTTCTCTGAGCTGGTCGCCAACTGAGATACATAGAGCACAGCAGAGACAGCACATATCAGCAGTGTCTCTCCAGTGTTGAGAGTGGAGAGGCCATGGGTCCTGCTGGGGGCTGTGTATGTTGGGGGGGAGGGGGGCTGGCATTGGGGTTTGCAGCCCAGCAAATCAAAACTGGGAGGGGCGGGGGGCAGTGTCACCTAAAGAGAGATGGGTGGCTCTATACTGGGGTTAGATGGGAGATACGGGGGTGGGACAGGGTGTGACACCTCCTTTGCATTTCATCTGCTAAACTCCCCTTCCCAGCTGGACCTAGACTATGAGGTGTAACAGCCGCTTCTCAGCTCCCGATGGCCCATGCCCTGCCGGACTACGGGAGCTGATGACAGGAGGGGAGATTATGTGAAGGTCTTGTGCTTTGACTTGTCCCCCTTCCCTTCCAAGTCCTGGATCTTTGCCTCTTAGACAAATGGCTAAACTCAGGCCAGTTTGGCTAGGGAAATGTGACCTGCAGGGTCATGATGGAAGAGTGATATGAGAAGGACCAGCCAGGCTGGGTTTGGGATGGGAGATGGGACTGTATCCGAGAGGGAAGAACTGGCCTGCTCTCACCTGCTGCTGGAGTCTGTTGCTGAAGTATTTCTGGATGAGCTCCCGGCTTGTGGCACAGCGGAGCAACAGCTCCTTCTCCAGGGCCTGCGGGTGAGAGGAGAGAAGCATCTCAGCAGACCCTGGGCAGCAACACATCATGCCCAGTAGAAAGCACCATTTGGAGCAGCTCTCCCAGACCAGGTGTCATGTGCTTGACCGCGTGGGGGGGGTGGCAGAGCAGGAGCAGCAGGCAATACCCCTAGGAGATGCAGGGAGAGGAGCAGAGGGCATTCCCTCCTCCTTGATCCCTCAGCCCTACAGCCATCCCCAGGGAGTGCTGGGAGAGATGATCTCTCAGTCGCACTCCTAAACCCTCACAGCTCAAGGACCAGGCTGGAAATTTACTCTGTCATACAATGAACGTGCGTGTCACTGCTGGCATTAGCACAAGGTCAAGCATCCCCTAATAGCAACCTTTTCTGCTGGATCACCCTTTGCGAGTGCTCCAGGGGAAGTGGAGGGGGGAGCCGAAGGGGGACGGCAGTAGCTTCTTACCATGAATGCTTCAGTGTGGAGGGTGTCCTTGGACAGCCCGCAGCCCTCCGCATGGAAACAGTGCTCCAGGTTCTAAGGATGCCAGAGAGAAGAGCCTGGTTATGTGCCACAGGGAGACCCGGGAAAGCCAGGCCACTCTCCCCCTCACCCACCCCACCACCCATCCTCACGTCCCACTTACCTTCACAGCAAACTGCAGCTTCTGGTAGTGCCTGGAGGAGCAACCCTGCTGTTTGGTGGCAGTGGTCAGGACATGCAGGGTGTGGTTCCAGAGCAGACCCAGGAGGCTGTTGCAGGGGAGTGAAAGGCAGAGCTGGGAGAGGGTTCTCAGCTGGCCTATGCAATGCAGCACATGGTGTCAGGTCCTGGGTGTCACAAACCTAGGCCCCAGCGGAGACAGGCAGCTACTGGTCTTAACCCAGTTACACAAGGGGGAGTTTGCACCAGGAAGGAAGACGGGGAAGTGGAACTTGGGCTGTATCAGAGACACTTGGACTGCAACAGCAACATGGGCTTGTTCCACTCCAACAGAATCAAGCTAATCTACTGCAGTAACAGTCTAGATGGTGTCTGAGGTGATGGTTACCATCAGGAGCTTGGACCTCAGTGCTACCAGTGACACACTACAGCTCCCTGTGTGCTCATCTCATGGCTGGGGGCAGTGCTGGTCACTGTGCTGCTGCATCATCACTGCACTGATGGCCCAGGATAGGGGTAGGAAGCCTCATGGGGGTGAGATGTGAATGCAAGGACCTCACTGCACCAGGTGGCAACTCAGAAAAGCAGGGGTGGTGATGTGGGTCACTGATTAGGTCTGCCCTGCCTACTGTGTCAGCTGGAGAACAGATTTGCCACTTCCCCACTGTGGAGAAGGGGGTCTTGGGTGGGGCTGCTGTTCAGTGCTAGGTGAAAGCCTTTCATGTCCAGACTCTGCCACAGCGCAGGTGGCCAGCACTACACAAAGTAAGCCTGTTACTGAAGGAAGGGGCTTGCAGTCCCACTTTGATGTTACAGCAGGAGCACACCTCAGCACAGCCAAAGCCCCAGAACAGGGGTGTCCCGTGTATGCAGTGCAGGAGGACTGGTGAAGCCACTGTGCCAGTGCATGGCCTGAGGTGGGAGACGGGCAGCACCACCTGGAGCTTCTGACCTCCACGTGCAGCACAGTGGTGATTCCCAGCCCTGCAGCTCACCTGTTAAAGTTCTCCTGGACCAGATGCACATTCAGGTACTGCAGCTCCGACTCCAGGAACTTCATGAGAGGCGTGATAGACTGTGGGGAGAGGAGGGGTGGGAACCTCAGCAGGAGCGCGGCCCTGAGACCTTGTCTCCAGCAAAGAACATCTTTGCCAGCAGCTCCCAAGCTTTTGGGGCTACTCAGCTGCGTACCAGCTAGGGTTGCCAACATTTCAGGATTGCCCTCGAGACTCCAGGAATCAGATATAACTCTCCAGGAGACTACCGAGAGTCATCCAGGAGATAAATGATGGGGCATTCATTAAAAAGAATATTAAATGTTGAATCTGATGTATACAGTAGTCCAGTAGGTTTTTAAAATGTAATAGTAATGTGCATTTGCCTTCCTGACAAAGTCTAAGCACCATAATCCATAACTGATATATGCAAGCATGCAGGCACATTTGTATTGTGTGCCATGGGCACATTGGCATTCTGGAAACCTCCCAAAATATATTCAAACAGACTTGGCAACCTATTACCAGCCCAAGAGCTGGGCCAGCTGGTATCAGTGTCCTACACTGTGGTGCCCTGCAGCTATTTCTGGGAATGTTTTTTTTTCCAGTGAGCACATGCTTCTGGGGCCTGAGTTTGGCAGGCAGCAGCACACAATGTGGCATGGCTTTGTCACTTGGGTGTCTGTGGCTTCTGCCATAGTGCCCATGTCCAAGAGCCAGCCAGACCGTCCGTACAGCAGTCCCAGATGTAGCTGGCTGCACTAGGTGCCTCACACTCACAGCCTGTCTACCAGGGCTTACCTTGCCCCCCACCTAACCTCCCCAGGACACCATGGAGAGGTGGGGGAGGTTATGATTCAGCAACTGGCAGGAGCCAGCAGGGTTAAGGGAAGCCTTGAGACATCTCACGTCTCATCTGCCTAGAACCTGGAGCAGAGCATGTTGCAGGTACTGCCTGGGTTAAGCAGCCTCACTGAGCTGCTACTGTCCCTAGGCCAGAAGCAAGCAGTGCTGGTTTCTCCCTAACCCCCAGACCCAAGTTGACTCAGAGCCAGGAGCAATGAGGAGGGATATTACTGTTCTCAGGGGCTTAGAACTTAATTCAGTACAAAGGCTGTATCAGCAGGCCCCAGCCAGGGTACAGCTCTACATCTGCTGGACAATCTGAGCAGGGGAGAATCAACCCTGTCAGCCCGCTGGAAGAATTATTAGGACGGGGGCTTCTATACAGCCCCCTCACTGTAGCACTTGGGCCTGGAGGAGAGCTGGGCTGAGCGCGGCTGGTTCAAAATAGCCTCTCAGCTGTAGCCCATGGGGCATCAAGGCCTGGCACTTACATCCTCTGGGCTTTTGGAGTCTCTGGAAGTTGACAGCTCCTGGATGTGCCTGGCGATCCCACCTTCCAGCTGCCAAAGAAACACACATGCATTGTGGCATATAAGGGTGATTTGGGAATTCAGCCTTGAGTGGCTGCTATTCACACTCATGTGGGTCATGCCCTGATCCCTTCTGCACATGCTGAGAAGGTTGTATAAGCTCCAAAGTGGACTAGATTCACCTGGATATATGTGCAAGGCCCTTTGCATGCAAAACTATATCACAGGTAGGAAAGTCACAACTGGTGGGTGGGCCTTTGCCCAAGAAACAAAAGACCCTGCTTTTATGGTTTTCTGCATCAAAAAGGGGCAGGTCCCAGAGCCTTGCTGTAACCACCACGCAACAGGCTGGGCCCTGCCTGAAGCATCCTCCAGGTCTCCTCTTCACCAGGTAACCAGGAGGAGATGATATGTGGAGCCAGGAGACAAGCCAAAAAAAGGAGGAGTGTGGTTCAGTAAAATTGCTGTGTTTGATGGGCATGGTCCTGGGTTCTAGCCCCTGCTTCTTAGGGTGGGTTTATCTTGTCCCCTGTGCTGTGCTGTGCTGCTTCTCACCTCATTAGGCCTTCTGACGCTTGTGTTCAGCAGTGAAGGTGGACATAGAGTAGTTAATGCTTTATTTCAGAGCCCAGGCCCAGGCTAGAACCACCAGTGCATTTTTTCATGGATGTGTCCACCTCACTGAGCCAGACTCTCTTGAATTTGCTCTAGTTCTGCTGTCATGATATCTTGCCCTCCAAACTGCCCACTAGTCCAGGTTCAAGAGAAGGGCAGGATACTACTTTGCAGCACTTGGTCTATGGACTGGTGGTGAGAATGCTGCCCTAGAAAGTGGGTAATGCAGGTTCAAATCCTGTTGCTACAGGGTAGGGAATAAGCAGCAAGATTCTAGGGCTTGGCAATGAAAGGGCCCTTTTCTGTTTTATCTCTAGCCCATGTACACCAATTGAACCATTTCTTTGCAGCCCAAACCCAAAGTGTGTGCAAGAGCCAAAAACTGCAGGCACGCAGTGATCACTGAGCTGTGCGCAGAGGCCAGAGGACTTAGCCCTCAGAGCTCTGTCACCCATGTCAGACACCTTCCCTAGTGCTTCCCCACAGGTGTCCTGGCCATATGCAGAAGCACTTGGACCACCACCACCCACCATGAAGCCAGCAAGAGCCACGCACTCCTTCAAGAGTTTACCCAAGAGAGAGAGCCTAGTAGTCTTTTCAGAGGTCTCCTTTCTCTCCCTCCTCCCCAGCCTTCCCTCCTGTCCCAGGAGAATGTGCCCTCAAATCCCCTTCAATGGACAGCCTCATCTTCCACCAACAATACAGTCTACAAGCTGCACCCTCCATCCCAGCAGCTGGGAGCAAATAGCTGTGCCCAGCTGTCCCCAACACAATGCTTATACATAGACACCATCAGTACAAGGCTGGCCCCTGCAGATCCTGCCCTCATCCACCCTGGTTTTCCATCAGGACCTAGATTCTACAGGGAAAGTGAGACAGTCCATACCATCAGTATGCCTACAGGCCTGTTCCCAAGACTAATGGAGTCCATAGGCATCCTACCACTGGGGCTTCTATAGACCCTCGATCTGGCCCCATTCAAGTGTGGGAGTAGTCTTGGCTCCACCCTCAAACCCAAGTGGGAGCATATGTGTAGGGGAAAATGCCAAGCCTGGGCAATTACTTTTGCTGCTAGGGTCTGCACCACGTCTCTGATCTCATGGTCGAGGCAGGAGACGGTGCCCTGGAGCTGGTTGTGCAGGGTATGCTGGATCTGCTCGGGATCAATGGTGTCCCCCATCCGCCGTTCCAGCCGCTCCCAGTCCAACTGCGACGGCAGCCTCAGGATCAGCAGCCGCAGCTGCTCAATGTTGTTCACCACAATGCAGAGCTGGGTGGAAAGGGAAAAAGCCCCTAACTATGTGCATGAGCCTTGTGCTGTCTCCCCCACACCTCACCTGGCACCCCAGACTGCTCTGTAGGGTAGCAGTGTCCATACATGCTCCCACAGGTGCTGCCAGTGGATGGGTCTTGTACATGGCACTGCTACCGCCAATATCCATGAGACTGACTGAGCTGAACTACTGGCCAGTCCAGTGGTAGAACCACACCCTGCAGAGTTAGACACCCAGGCCTGTGCTTTAAGCTCACACTATGGGGGATTACCTGGCTGGTCAGGGTACAGGGGTGGCACTCAGGGCTCCTTCTTTCTTTCCTTGCACTCTACTCAGCCAGGGTTTCAGCTCACCAGGCAACTGGCAAACTACGGGCAACTCAGTCCTCCACCCCACCTCTGGGGAGGTCTAACCATCTTCTCCACCAGGGCAAGGCCCTACAAATGAGTCAGATCTCACCAAGGCTGCGGGCAAATGAAAATTGCGGTGTGACCTGCTGAAGACTAGGCCAACATAGGAGGTAGTGCCATCTCACCCTTCCCTGGTGGGCAGGTGAATGCTGGGGGGTGGGGGCTGGACTGATCATGGGCCCCAAGACCCATCCCTCTATCTACCCTGTTGGCTGCATTTCCTTCGTCCTGCTGATTTGACGACAGCTCCTCTGCCCTGGTCTTGATGAGCCTGCAGTACATCAGAGCGATTTTGCACATGTCCTAGAGGAGAGAAAGTGGAAGCAAGAGGCACTGAACGTGGGGTACGTACAGCAGACAGAACACTGCTCAGAAATGTTCTGGGGGCAAGAGGCTTTGCAACTCAAGACCAAATTGATGAGTTATTTTATCTGGCATGATGTCTCCAAACGGTTCCATAAAAAAGGGATTAAAAACCCAAGGAGCTGGCCCAGGTATAACCCTAGGGGTGGAAGATCTTCCTTCCTGATACCTATGGCTGGTGCTCTGAAGCATGAGATTTGGTCACCTCTCTTCCGGGTACCTACAAACTGCTGTTACTGGTTCAGCTGGTGTTGTTGGCTCTACACACCTCAACGAGCTTCACCATGATCATGAAGGCCTCCTCAGGATCAGGCCAGTCTAGCTGCTGCCAAGTCTTCACAATCTGAGCATAGCAAGTGGACAGGTCGACAGTGGACGTGCTGTGTTTGTTCAGCTCCCCAAGGGGCACCAGCTGGGTGATGGGGCAAGAGAACACTTGGTTACTGAGTGTCTTGTAAATAAACCAAAAAGCAAAGCCAAAGTAAAGTCATCCCTTAATTTATACCTCCCTGGACCTGCCTTCCTGACCTTTCCTGTCTGCTGCTGCCCCCAGCAGGGACCTCCTTTTGGCCACAAGAGAGATGAGGTTAATGTGTGGCAAATTTTGTTTCGCTTGCCAAGACCTGTATCTAGCCAGTGGTGCCACAGGTCTCTCTCGCAGCCTCATCCACCCAACTTTCACTGAGTTAGTTTAGCATTGGCAAGAAGTACTTGGAGAGTGAAGTCTTTTGTCTCTGGGATGGGTATAGCGTGGGCAGAGGTGGTGTAAGACCTACTATCCATCAGACTTCAGCCTGACTTGGTCAGACCATGCTGGTGAGAAGAAGTGTCTCTCTGACCCCAAGGTCCTTTTAATGCTTTGCCTCTCTGCTGACCCAGCCGGGGACAGTGACTGGGACATGCAGCTAAACAGATGCTCCTCATCTCATAACATGCAAGTGTCCATCATCTGTCACCTTTAATCCAGGAGAACACAACAGTGCCTGTGGCTATGTGAAACTGAGGGGTCAGAGATTTGGAAAGCAAAGAGGGGAAGGGCACTGCTGGAGTATCCCATTGCTGTGTGACTCTGCAGGATCAAGTGTTTGAGGAAAGACACGTTAAATCTAAGTTAGGCCTGTGTGTCTCCCTGGGGCTGCTAGGCCATAATGGTTCTTACAGGAATGAAGGGTGACTACTTCTCAGGTAGAAGAGAAACATGCTAATTTTTAAGCCGTGGGCTTCTCAATACACATTATAGCAAGGGAGAAAAGATCGAGGCAGGGACTGAACTGGTTGGAAGTGAAAGAAGCTCAAGATAATGGGTAAGAGAGTGTAGAGAAGGCTGGAGAGTCTTAGCGTGGCCAAGGAGAGTCTCTTT